TGGTTGCTACATGCTAACATTTACACAGATATTATGGTGAGTGATAGCTGGCTTCATGCTAACAGTTTAGCATGCGCCACTGGCCAGGAGAGGGATAGTGAACGTTACATTAATTTAAACATTTATGTAATGCCAGGATGAGACGGGGTTGAGCACAACTACTGAAATTATCAGATTTTAATATATATTTGTTGGCATTATATGGTGGTCAATGATGTAGAATTATTTTATTTATTTGTTGCACTTGCATCATAAAAATAACTGATGAAGCGCAATGTAATATTAGTTGATATCCTATAGGACTCTGAGGATTTAAAGTATAAGCACACACACTTGCTTCGATTTTAATGAAATGTCTACGTCTTATTTTAAGGTGAATCGTGGATATAGAAAATGTTTAAAGGACACAAACTTCTTTATCTTAAATCCTTCTGCCTCTATTTCCCTGACTGGTCTTCCAGGACAGACAGAGGAAAGAAGGAAAGCTGTTCTCTCCCTCTTTTCCTCCCACCATGCACCTGTCTCCCTCTGACCTGCAGCAGATTGCTCTGTGTAATTTGAGGCGTCTGGTCAGTGTAAAACAGCTGAAGGGAGCAATCAGGTTTGTGGCTGATTACCTTTGGGTAGCAGTTACAGAGCACACACATTCCTGAGTGTGTGTGTGTGTGTGTGTGTGTGTGTGTGTGTGTGTGTGTGTGTGTGTGTGTGTGTGTGTGTGTACGTGTGTGCGTGATGTAACAGCACCTGACATGTTGGTCGCGGTGTGTCAGCCTGGCGGTTGGTTATTCACTGACACAAGCAGGAAGGCCAGAGAGGTGCAGGAAACCACACACGTGCACACACACACACACACACACACACACACACACACACACACACACACACACACACACACACACACACACACACACACACACACACACACACACACACACACACTTATCTCCGGACATGTGAGGATCTTCAATTGACTCCATATATTACTTAACCTTTAACCTTAAGCATAAATTGTTATTACACAAGCCCCAATTTGAAAAATCCAATCATTCAGATGCACACACACTATTTCACAGAAACAAACACACACACACACACACACACACACACACACACACACACACACACACACACACACAGGAAGCACCTTTCTATTAAGAAATCCCTCGGTTTGACATCCACACAACGGCTGCTGCAGTCCCTCTATTCGTGCAGGATGTTGTTGGAACAGTTGCATAATATAACCCATGAGGTTCTCAAATGTTACACAATGCAGCAGAATACTAACTCTGATGGGGCTCTGGCCGTTAATGACCCCTTAAATCCTGGGAGAAGGCTAGTTGTTGCAGGTTGTTGTACCAAAACAAACATGGAGGACAACCTGAACAGCTTTTATGGTGTGCAATTAGCTCCAACAAGGCCAAAAACAGGAGGACAACTGGGGGTTGGAAGTGATTCAACAAAGTGTAAAGAAGTATCTGGTGGAAACAAGCAGCAATACATATTGATGATGTTAATCTGAAATATCCAATATCTTTATGATGACAGCTGAATCTTAATACTTTTAAACCTTAACATATCTCACATGATATGATTTATTTGCCAACTGTTGACACCTATCAATCAAAGACAATACGTTATTTATCCCGGGGAAAATGGGTTCCATGATAAAAAAGAAAAGATAAGTTAAAGTAAGAATGTGCAAGTAAAATATAAGTATAACAAAATTAAGATATTTAGTTAGAGTAAATTTCAAAGAAAAAAGAAAATGTAATTAAATACAAATGTTTATATAAGTTAAACTAAGAATGTACCATTAAAATATACAACATTTAAAATATATATTTATAAAAAAATAGGAATTCAAGTAAAATATCAAATACAACATAAAATAGAATTAAAATGTGCATGAAAAAATAAGAAGTTACGGTAAAATGTCCAATAAAAGACAACATCAAATTGGGTGTAAAACTCGGACTGAACAGCAGGTTGAATCCACCTTCACCGGACAGACCAAAAGTAAGAAAGCAAAATGAGTCCCCTGACATCTCATCCCGTTACAGTAATGAACCGCGGGGCCTTGACAGCACACACACACCTCCACACACACTCAAAACATCCAATCCTGCTAACTCAACAATACTCAAGGTTTTCACCCGACAGGAAATGGATTTTCGAGAGACGTGGAGCTCAGTATTATGAAGAGGTCGCGTCAAGGACTGAATACAATGCGACAGGAAGAGAAACCTCAGAGAGAGCACTTCCCCTCGACATTGAACACAGACAGTGAATGAGGGGAAACTACTGCTGCATGACAGGTATACACACTCCGGATGAAAAGGAGCTATTCTACCACTCAATTCTCATGTAGACGGGCTTGAGAAAAAAAATCTGCTTTACTTTGATTCACTCTTTGTTGGTCTGATCATTCTTGCATTATAATGGACATCAAGACCTAATATGATCTGCTTTGATAAATGTCACAGTATGATTGTTATTGTATTTCAAATGATGTTAAATGGTGATGTGATTTAATTAATATTATTATTATTTATTTTTTGTCATTTATTCTGTTATTTGTTGCTTATGTTTGAAAAAGGTAATTAAATAAAGTCTTCAAAAAAAAGTTAGCTTATCTTATTACTTTTAATTTCAGATGATTATTGTAGGAATATCTGTATTAATGCTCGACATCAGCGGTTCTCAAACTTCTTTTTGTTTATGCGGACCACTATTTATTATCAAGGATTCTCGCGGACCACCTCATATGCAAACCGTAAAAATAAGTACAAACGTAGTGTTAAAACTCAGATATTTGTTATTGTTAATTATGGACAACACATTAATTTCACCACTGGTTACCAATGGTTACGTGTGCGAGTGCAAAACCACAAACATGGATCGGTGGCTAGCATCAGGTTCTCTGAAGAGAAAAGAGGTTACCGTTAATGAAGATAATGAGAGTGAGTCGGAGGCATCTACAAGCCAGATTCCAAGATTGACGTCGACGATTAGCCGGTTTTAGGCTCTCGTTAGCCAGTGTCTCGTAGCGCAGAACGCATAGCCTATTGGCAAAGGCTCATCTTCAGTGCCGTGTAGGTAAATCCCAGTTCCAAGTAGTTCCCAATGTACTTTCTCTTAATCTTCTCTTTCTTTGTTTTTTTCTGCGGAATCTGGCTCCCTCCGACTCACTCTCAATATCTTCATTAACGGTAACCTCTTTTCTCTTCAGAGAACCTGATGCTAGCCACCGATCCATGTTTGTGGTGTTGCACGCGCGCACGTAACCATGGGTAACCAGTGTTGTAATTAAGTGTTGTCCATAATTAACAATAACAAATATCTGCGTTGTAACACTACGTTTATATACTTATTATCCGGCAGTGGCTCAGTCAGTAGGGGCTTGGACTGGGAGCTGTAGGGTCGCCGGTTCAAGTCCCCGAACAGACCTAAAATATGGAGTGTGGACTGCTACTTGGAGAGGTCCCAGGGTCACCTCCTGGGCCCTGCCGTGGTTCCCTTGAGCAAGGCACCAGACACCCCCCTTCCCCCCTCACTCCCATTGCTCCCCGGGCGCTGTACAATAGCTGCCCACTGCTCCTAGTGCTAGACTCCTGGTACTAGGATGGGTTAAAAGCAGAGAACACATTTCACTGTGTGTGCTATGTGCTCTGCATGTGTGACCATTAAAGAGGGTTTCATCCCTCCCAATTCTATCTAGTCCACCACTATCTCTTGGGGCAAAGAGTTTTTTCAGAGCATTCTGGGCTTTTTTCCATTCCATAAAAATTCCCTAATCAGCTGATTATATTGTTTGAAGATTTCATCAGAGATGGTTACCGGTATCATCATATACATATAATTAAATTGTGGGGCATCCACCATCTTAATAATATGAATTTTCCCCAATAAAGTGAGATTTATCAATTTCCATTTTTCCAAATTTGCCTTAATTTAATTTAATTAGAGGAGTCATATTAATAGAGATTATATATTCTAGCCCTGAACACAACCTGATGCCAAGATATTTCATTCCAACTGGGATCCACTTCAAATTGAATATTGACACCGCTGATTGGTTGCATCCAGTCGATACGGGCATACATTCAGATTTCTGCCAATTTATCTTATAGCCTGATATTTTCGGAAATGATTCAATTGTAGATAGAACATTAGGGATTGAGGAAATAGGATCCTTGATAAGTAATAAAATATCGTCCGCATATAGGAACATTTTGTGTTCCCTTTCCCCCTGTAAATGATCTTCCCCTAATGAATCCTACCTGGTCTGAGTGTATTAAGTGTGGCAGAATGCTTTCCAGACTCTTAGCAAGAACCTTGTTGTTTCTCGTCAAATGTGTTAGTTATGTTTATGTATTTTGTCCGTCATTTCCTGTTTTATTTTGTACTTACCTCTTGTCTTTCATTTCAGGCCCAGTTTTCTTCCTCCCCTTGTGTGTTTTTCCCGCCATCATCAGTGTCTGCCCCGCCCCTGACTTTTTCCACCTGTTCCGGACTCACCTCAAGTTTAAATAGTCCTGTCTCTCCCCTGTCCTGTGTCAGTTCGTCTTGTTTGTTTCTCCTAATGGTCGTGCCAAGCCTCAACTCAGAAAGGATCGCTTTCTCTCATGTCAGGTTTTGTTTCTTTTGTTAGGCTTAAGTTTTTATTAAGTCCTCTTTTTGTTACGCTAGTTTTTTCCTCCTTGTGAGCGCCTTTTGTTATTTCCACCACCTACTCTGTTAGGAGGGGTTACCTGAACTGTATAAATAAATATAATTTTTTTTATATTCAAGCCTTTGTCTCTGGGTCGTACATTTCATCAGTGGGGTCTTTATCCTTTTTAATAATTATAGAAATCATAGGATATTGCTTTATTAAACAATAAAGCGTTTCTGATTGTCTGACTGGTAATGGAGTGTCATTTTACGTTTACCTAGGGTCATATTGTTCATTTCTCAATGTCTTAAGATAAAGGCGTTGCTGTATGTTCCCTCTTTCTTACCTCGAAATATCTCTTGCCAGTGTCCAGCAGGATTTTGGTGAAGAGTTCCACATCTTTCTCTTCCATCAGTTTGTCGGAGTAGACCCTGGAGCTCTCATGCAGCCACAGGTTCACCAGGTCTGTGGGGTAACGGATACTCTCCGGCAGGGCAAACAGGATACCCTACACACCAACATACATGGAATCAATAATCACATGATTCAGAAACACACACTTCCTTCTCTTCATCTGAATAACTGCATACCTGGAAAATGTTAGACAAGTCTCGCAGGTTGAAGATGTAGTGGAAGCGTATCGCTGTGGGGAGGAAGTTCTGGCTGATCTTTTGGTGCAGACAGATAGCTGCCTGGATGAGCAGATCCAAAAGATGGATGTTTGGATAGATATTGGAACAGATAAACAGATGGTCATTACTATGGATAGAGTGGTACACTGATAGACCAATAATGTTTTTAATGTAGATAAATGCAGCATACTATAGGTGTACCTGCATGAGGGTCCCCACTGAGCGAGAGACCCCGTAGCTGAATCCTCCCTGCAGGAAATGAGCTGACAGGATGCTGGAGAAGATGGTGGCTAATCCATCAGCACTGGGAAAATGTACTGCAAACACTGAGAAATGCCTCTGAAAGGTGTAAAGAGAGATTTGAAAATGACTTGCCACCACTCGATAGTATGACTGGCATGAATTCAACATTTAAAAAAGAAAAATATTCCTCTAACTACTTTTTAAATGTAACTATTAATTAGATACTTTTATCATCAGTTATTAGCTTTTTAGAACATGCTTACATCACCCTCATTTTTATAGATTGTTTATCTTTTCTTTTTAACTTAATTGCGTCTTCCTTTCACAGCTGATTAAACCCATTATGTGTTCATTTGCACGTGATAAATTACTTTGTAAAAATGCTTAAAAATCTAATTAAGTACAGTAATTGCAGTAGAAAGAGCAATGGTGATAATAGTTTTTTGTTCATACAGTGTGTGTGTGTGTGTGTGTGTGTGTGTGTGTGTGTGTGTGTGTGTGTGTGTGTGTGTGTGTGTGTGTGTGTGACATGCCTGTAGTCTGGGGTTGATAGAGAAACTCCCTGATGTTGGGTTCATACAGGTGATGTACTGGCAGTTATGTATTTCCTTTAGGACCAGGCGTTGTCTGTCATACCTACAAAAGGTGTAGTACAACTCTTTACTGCACGGTATGCTCTTACATACAGATGTGAATGTGTATCTTTACTATACATTCATGTAAAACTGTGTGTTTCCTGTCTGTCTTACCAGTGGTTGTAGTCGAGGTGCTGTCGTATGAGTGTGTGCGGCTGGACGGTCCCATAAACATCCACCTCTGGCATGTTGAGGTCGTCTATGAAGTAGATGAGTCTCTTAGCGGTGGGGGGAGCAAATTTACGACCAGCTTTCTTCTCCAGGGGTTTCTCCAGGACACCTGAGGTCCATACAATGCAGAAGACAGTTGATGAAAAAACCTGTGGGCTGTGCTCGCAGCAAATGACTCATGAGTAATGTACTTCAAAATGCAGTCTGCTGCAGAAATAGATAATTAAAAAAACAAGAATAAATCATGTTTAATAAATCAAGTGTAATGAGTCAGAGTAAAGCTTATATTCTAATGAATGCAATGTAATTCAAGCAATATTAAAGGGCAAACGCAGTATGGTATTACAATGAGATTTCAAAACGCTGTTACAGTATATTCGGCAAGATTATTTGTAGCCAAGACTTATATTAACTTACTTACTTTTCACTTACAGTATATTACATTACATTACATGTCACTTGTTAGACGCTTTTATCCAAATCGACTTACATACTCAATAATATGGGCAATCCCCACAGGAGCAATTTGGGGTGAAGTGTCTTGCCCAGGGACACAACGACATGCTGACTGCAGTGGGGTTTGAACCTGTGACCCCCTGATCCGAACACCAACGCACAACCCCATATATAATACATCTTACCTAAGTAAAGTAAAGTACACATATAAAAGAGATTTGAAACAGAGAAAGGGCATTTAAAAAATATATTCTACTTGAAAAAACTATTTTCTTTTACAGGAGTAATTTACTGTAGATACATCACTGTACTTTTCGAAACCCCCACTGTGCCATGAAAGTGTATAAAGTCAACTTAATCTTAGTAAGCACAAAACTCCAGTTTCCTTCTGTGATCCTTACGCTGCAGCATGGCCGATGTGGTGTAGTAGTTGAAGGGGACTTTAGCCACTATGAAGTCCTCCTTCAGCTTGGCTACTTTGTCTGACACCAGGATGGTTTTACCCACTCCTGCGTTGCCCACTAACATGATAGGTTTTCCTCTGTGGAGCAGCAGGTCCATGAAGTAGGTCAGACAAAGGGTTTCTGGAGTGTGGACCAACACAGTCTGAAACACACATACGAAGCAGGACCTTAATGAAAGAACTGTTCAATTAAGTATGAGCATAGTGTAAAGCAATTCTGTTCTTTGTACACAAATCATTACCTGTAATGGTACCTCAGGCTCTAGCTCAAAGGGCAACATCTTCTCGCTCCAAGGGGTAAACTTTTTTGTCTCAGAGTCAATGAAATAGTCGAAGACAGTGCCCTGGGAAGGAAACTTCACTGCCCTCATCTCTTTAGACCACCAGCGGCTGAATTCTGCACGGTAGTCATTCAGCTGGTTGTTGGGAAAATATCATAATGTGACATATTAATCTGAATTTAAATAGTGCAATAAAAGCTTTTCAAGAGAGCATTTAGTCACCACACACATGGTCCTGGAAGAGGGCCCCTCCAAAGGCCCAGACACAAGCGAAGACAAAGTAGATCTCATAAAGTTCTCGCGGTGAGTCAGGAGGAGTGTTGTCCTCTGTCAGCAGGCAGTCCAACAAGGAACACAGTGTCTGATTGGCCAACACATATATACATCTGATTGGTCAATACATCGTAACACATTGCCATTTTTGACAATATGCAAAAAAACACAACATCTGGCTAAAAAGACAGGATGTAAATGTTTGTGTGACAGTATAGGTGGGATACACAATGAGCATGGTGTGTTCTCACCTGCACCATGCTGCTCTCTGGTATGGGAGTGATGGTTTTCAGGTTGCAGCGCACTTGTTCCAGGCAGTACGGCACGTACTTATCGAACAGAATGGTTAAGTTGGCTCGCTCTGATTGGGCCTGTCTGGTGTCTATCCAGCTTGTCACATACCTGGATATACAGCAAAGACATCAGGTGTACAATTTCAGAAAAGCAAGGGAATAAGAAGCCCATTATTTCATAAGAGTGTTTTTGCTTTTGCGTGGCTTACGAACTCCAGCCAAGATCTTGAGGGTTGACAAAGAGTATTCCTGCCCTGGAGACAGTAGCTGGAGTTGCTGCCTTCAGATGAGAAATCTCAAACAGTAGACGCATCGAGGAAGATAAACTGATCCTCTCATTACTGGCAAGAGTCAGAACCTGGAAAAAGTAGAGGAACATGAGGTTGTGTCCAGCTTAAGCATTAGGTCAAATATATAAAGCGGCCGAAATATGCGAAGTGAACAGCACTGACAAAAAATAATGTTAAAATTGTTAATCCGGGGCTTTCTGGATGAAGATGAAAGCCTACTAAATCTTTGCATGAAGGACAACATTCTGCATTATAAAAATTAAAAAAAATAGAGCAAAAGGTGCACTCTGACCTTATTGTCATCCATGACTGTGTTGAGTGACTCAATCCACATAGGGTCAATATCCCCATCCAGAACAATCCATTTGGGTCCATCATGACCCACTGAGGTGAGCTCTCTCATGGTAGAGGAGAACAGACCTAAAGCAATGAGTCAAATAAACAGTGGCATATCAATACCAACACTATTACATGGTCCTATACAATTATCAAAGTTGTACAAAAGCAGACTCATGTAATGCAATCATAGTAATTTATTCCACATCAAAATGATATAAACCAGAGCTAACTCTGAACCTGAAAATATACTTTGACAAATTCTAATTAATTCTGTGAGTAGGCTTTTGAATTATTTATGGTTTTGACACCGAAAATAACTCATTCTTGACAGTGACCCATAAGCTGCAGAAAAACACTGGCTCCCTTGAACAGTGTGTTAAATTCCGTGTAAAATTCTCAAGCCCCTCACCGTCTTTCCACTCTCTGGTCGCAGGGTGCAGGTATCCAAACAACTCGTCTGTGGTCACAGCTTTCGGGTTGATATCATTCCAAACCGTCTTCATCTTCATGTTTGCATACGTTCTATGGAGAGTCTTCAAGATCTGTGTAGTTCACAAAATCAAATCCCTTATTGTTTACTAGATGGTCCATATGTATGAAAACAGGGAAATTCAACTCTTCCTTGACTTAAGCTTGGGGAGATCTGTGAAATATGTGTTCTGGCACAAGCTTAAAAGCCATCATTTAGAAAATCAGCTTATAAAATACATTTGCAAATCCTATTTTGTATGTATTAATGGATACAGCGTATATCGAAAAGTTAACCTGGCTCTTTCCGGTTCCTGGTCCACCTACTACAAACACAGAGTGTCTGACCGCCAGCAGCTCCTCCAGCTGGGTCACCTGTAGACACAAACAGTGGATCATAATGGATTATGATATAAATACTATTTTAAAGAATGACAGACCTATGTATATACTGTATATGAATTAATTTGTATATGTGTGTTCCCACACCTAAGTACTGTGCATCGTCAAAAGAAAGTAAAAACTTGCAATTTAGAACTATTAACAAATAATTGTAAACATACTGTAGTGATGAACTGAGTTTTATTTACCAAAGTAACATATGTTTATTCACATTGCAGGCAATAGTGAAACAGAGGCATTTCTTCCCCAGAGCACGGCATAGTTATGGAGCACCTTAAGTATGAAGTTCTCCTCCGGCTGCAGGCGCAGTTCACTGACTGACTGGCGCACAGCGTTCTCCAGCTCGGGGTCTCTCTTCCTGGGCACGTCCAGCTGAGGGAACAGGTCACTGATGAGCCCGAGGAATATCGGCACGTCACTGGTCACTATCTTAGGCAGGTTGAAGTCCCTCAGCGCCCGCATCAGCACCTGGGCAGGAAATGACAGTGTGGATGAAGTAATGTAAATGCAATTATGAACTCAAGATTTGTCAAAACCACAAGCCACATGAATGCACAAATTGTCCCCATATCAACTACCTGTGAGATCAGTGTGAAAATGAGCATTAATCATTGACAGCAAATTGATGCGTACCTGTTCCTCAGGTCTGCTGCGTTCCTCTCTCTTCAGAGACCCAGCCACAACCAGGACTGATTTGATAGCTCTCAAACCCCAATCATAATGATCCTAACAGAAAAATGAAAAACATAACTGATCAAGCAGTGAAAGCAAGTACTATACTGTGTCAAGTATCTTTTATCTTCCGGTACAGTGGATGATGATAACAATATGTTAACCATGTGCAGCAGAGTGGAAAACTATTTGAATAAGAGTTACAATACCCAGTTCACTATATTTGAGGGGAACACCTCCTAAATTACAATTACAATGTTATTTCCATAGCCTAGGAAAGTTCAATAAAAAATATCGAGAATGAGCTACTCATGAGAGATAACCTTTATGATTTGTTAAGATGCTTTCTAGTTCTGCTTTTAGATTACAGTGGTTTAATGTACCTGTTTGGACAGCAGCTCCTTACAAAGAGTGTAGAGGCTGATGAACTTTCTTGCCAGCAGACGAGCGTCTATGAAGCCTTCAGCAACCAACATGATCTCACAGATCAGCTCAAAGTCTGGGATCACCATGGCACAGGGCCTGAACAGTGAACGAAACTCATTTTAGTAATCTTTGACATTTGTAATATCTTGCAAAACTCTCTCCTCAATTTAAATATCAGACCTGAATAGAGCTTTGAGATTCTCTGGGAGCTCGGCCCTGCCAGCATAACCAGGGTTCAGAGTGATGAAGATCCCCACTGTTGACTTCAGTTCAATCTCTTCTCCCAGGAAATGGAACCTAAATGCACACAGAAACAATTAGAGATGAGTCTGCAGAGGAATGTCAGCCTGGATCAAAAGACAAATTCATTAGTACAAGTACAGTTTTCGTATCTACCTTTGCTTCTTGTTGCGTACAGCATCCTGTATAGTCTTGACCTGCACAGCTACCACAGACAGCACCTCCACTGAGATCCTGTTGAACTCATCAAAGCAACCCCACACCCCGGTCTGAGCCAGACCTTTGTAAATGTTTCCTATGGACTGAAGACATGTGGCAGAGACAAAGTGAGTTAGTTCCGGGGTGGATTTATTATAATTGGCATAATGAATAGAGTAAATAAGACATAAATAGACACTACGGATAACATCTGCGCAGTCGATGCTACCTTGTAGTCCATCTGTTCTGAGCAGTTGAACACATAGACCATGATGCCCAGGGAACGTCCCAGATCTTTAGTGGTCTCCGTCTTACCGGTGCCTGCTGGGCCTGAGGGGGCACCGCTCATAGTCAGATGGAGGGACTGGGTCAGTGTTATGTAACACCTAACAGAGCCAGGGTAGAGATTTTAAATGATAACAATATTGACACGGTTAGTTACTCTGATCCACACTTTTCCAAAGTGGACTGAAGTATATGTTAAAAATATGGTATGATATACAATGTGGTCAGATGTAAGACTTTTTTGATTATACAGTAGGACATAGAAAAAACACTATTGTTTTCATCTTTAGACCCAGATTAACACCTTTTTTAATATGAGTTACCTTCTTTCAACCATTGTACAGTTTTTAAGTTGTTAGGGAGGCTTCCTGGATCATTATCCTTCGTGGGACCCCCCTCTCTCTCTCTGAGTCTGAATGATATTGGGCAACGTAAATAACATGCACTTCCTCTACTAATGTCTGTCTTCACCGCCTATTTAACTGAGGTCCCACGGCACCTTTCTCTCTCCAATACACTTTGCACTTTCTTTAATGATGTGTAAAATCTGTGTGCTCGTGCATCGGTGTGACATATAGTACTACAGGTGTACCTGTCAGTTAGAGGAGTGATGACCAGTCTGTTAGTGTTCCCCAGGTATTCATAGCTGAACTGGAACTGGGCGTCACAGATGTTGATGTAACAGTGTCTGGTTTCGTCATCCCAGTGGTGGCGTAACTGGGACAACCAAGCAAAGGCCTGGCCGGTTGTCACCTACAAGACACATAGAGTTACACCAACATCATTTTGTTGTGCTTTTATTCAGCAGATAAGTGTTTCACTTCAGCCTTACCTTCTGAGTTATGAGATTAGCCACCACGTCTCGAGCATGGACATCAATAGTGCAGACGGTCATAATTTTCTGTCTGTCCCCAGGAGTTAAATCTCCAAGCAGCATGTGGATCAGTGAGTTCAACTGTGTGATCTAAAAACAAAAAATGATCACTGAACACAACACATTTGGAATGAAATGTGATAAACAAACAATTTAAATGTGTATCTAGAAAAGAATCTGCAGATTAATCAATTATCAAAACATGAGTTAGTTGCAGCTCTACCTAACAATATGTTGAATGTATAGCACTACCTGTTTCCTGTTGTAGTCTTTGAGAGCTGTCTCAAATCCCTCCTCCACTCTCTCAAAGGCAATGCCCACGTCTGTGGCCCACCACACCTGACTACCAGTCAACCCTACCTGTGAATGGAGAGAAAGTCAGAGACAGACAACAGATGATTTTGGTGTTCATAAAGTTAAAGTTGTATTTCTACAGACACAGCATTACCAGACCTGAGCAGGGTAGTCGAACATCCACTGGTCTCTGGGTTTGTCCTCATAGGCGGCTACAGCCTCCTGGATCTCCTTTCTGACCGTGCAGCGCATGGTGCTCTCCAAGGCACTCAGCCAACACTCTGCCTGAAGAAGGAGACACAATGTTACATACATTGAAATACAAATAGAATTCAATACTATATAATGATTGGAGAATGCACAACATGATTACAAATAGCAACTGTTTGCACACACGATAAAGTACATACTGTGCATATTATAAACAAGAGAGAAAAGTTAATATAGCAGTGAGGGAGTGTACATCTACTTTGCACACACAGAAATCGAATTCTGTTTTTCAATACCTGTCCTTCGCAGACACATGGCTCAAAGAATGGAACATATTCTCCCTCTCGGCTGAACATCCCTATAGCAACTGCCTCCCCGTCTTCCTCTCCTCCTCCACCTCCGCCTGAGTCCTTAAAGCGAAGATCTGCTATGTTGTCAAACAGCTTCAGCAAGTGTCTAGTGACCTGAGGAATAAAACACACAAATATAATACAGTTCATTCATTATTTTCAAGGTCATGTCGTTATCTCTTGACTGGATTTAAGTCTTTCAACCTTATATCTATTATCATTCTCCACCAATCAAATAACTGGATGGAAGACAATATTGAACTGATACAATTAGCTGAACCTTTAAGTATTTGGAAAACAAGATCAGATTGTGATCAGTCACCTGTTTGGGCTGTGTCCCCTTGGAGACAATCTCCAGCAGGTCTGAGGCAGAGACAAAGTAAAACCTGGGGAAAGTGAGTCTCTTTGTCTCCAGGTACTCGGCCAGGGCCTTCTCACACACAGACAGCCTCTGCTGCAACGTCTCCAAGTTCTCCAGGAAGCCAGGCTGGTTAGTCACCTCTACCATATTACTGTTCTGCACCACCTCAGTCATCAAGGTCTCGGGAGGGAAAGAAGCCAAGTCAGAGAAAAATAACATTTCACACACCATTAGGATGTGGTGAGGTGGATGCATGTCTTGTGTATTATGTGTTAGCTCAAGTGGTAGAAGAAGTATGCAGATGCTTTACTCAAGTAACAGCAACAATAACAGTCTGTGAGAAAACTCCACTACAACTAAAAGTCTTGCATTCTAAACCTTACGTAAGTTAATCTACTGTACATACCCGAAACACCCATCTCTAAAAAGTAAACTTTTCCTGAGCTAAAAAAAGGTCTAAAAGTTTGTTTAGCTAGGTAGGATAAAATTCCTCATCCTATTAGGAAACATTAATTCTTTCTAAATCTCTGAGTAAATCTGGAAAAAAATAAGCTTTTTCACAGGAAAGGCAGTAAAAATGTACAATATTTGCCTCTGACAAGTAGTGGAGTTCAAGCAGATATAGTTGCATAAAAGGGAAAAACTCAAGTGAATTACAAGTATCCCCAAATTGTACTTAAGTGCAGTACTTGAGTAGATGTACTTTCCCCCTCTGGGTACCTGGAAGTCAGAGTGAATTCCCTGGAAGCGTTCAGCATCGTTGGCCAGCTGGCAGCGGATGTCGTGGCTGTTGGTGAAGATGCTGTTGAGGTGGGCCCATGTGCGTTGGACGGACATACAGGCCGAGATGACGAGGTCGGCCACCATCAGCTTCTTCTGCCATCCACTCACCTCCGCCTGGAAATACTCCACGTACTTACTCATCAGGATGTTCTGCAGCTGCACCTGAAGAGAAAGAAAAGCAGTGGCTTTACATCATGATCTGTAAGAATCTTCTACAATGACAGAAAGCACTACAGAAGCCAAAGCATGATAATCTATATGTAGCAAGGTTCAGCATTAAACCACTGAGAATCTGCACAGTTTTCACGCTCACCTGATTGTCCTCCAGTGTTTCTATCAGATTCTCATCGGCTTTGAGCAGAGGGGTTCCTGTGCTGCTGTGAGTCTCATAAGACAACGACATGACACTCCACGTCTGGGTTATCTCGGCCAAAACCTGAGGAAATGTAGCTTTAGAATGGTGCAGTAAGACCAACATTAAACATTTAATGATGTTACTAAATATGCTAAGCATCTTATTTCTGAATAAGACTGTGTCATTTGAGCTTATTTGTCCATTGTGAGCCATTTTACAGTATTTCTTTTTTTAAGAATATGGTAGAAGGGACGATTTATGATAAGGGGATTTTGGACATAATTTCTCTCTAAATTCAGGTTTTTATTTTTATTTAGAAAATTTAGATTTTTTTTTGTATATACTTCTTTGCCAAGTGATCTGATTTTGAACTTTGAAATGCAGAACGAGTCAGAATAACCATTACAGCTACTACCTTGACATACAGGACACTATTATACAACTGAATGCTATCTTTGATACTCACTTTCTCAATAGCCATTTCCTTCACAGCCTTGTCCACTATGTTTTTGACCTCGTCCTCCACACGGTGAAGCTGTAATTCCAAAAGGTCCCCCAGGGTGGTGCCTTCCCCCATAACAAACATGACCTGAGAATGAAAAGGGATACACAGCAGCCATGAGAGCGATCCGATTTCAGATACGGATAATTGGGCTCACTGAGCTGTGCAGGTCATTACAGGCCTAGACGTTGAATGAATGTTGAGCATGTAAAGAGTAGATTATAAGAGAACATAACTCAATTCAATAGCATGGTAATTATCAAAGTGAAGAACTTGATTAATGATGAAATATTATAGAATAGGATTGTTTGAGACTTAGTGGATAGTGTCATACCCCTGTGGTGTTCATAAGCTGTTGCCAGTGTCTCTCTCTGACAGCGGAGTTTTGCAGCTCGTTGACGGCTCTCAAAGAGGTCAACAGGTTCTTTACAGTCGACTCCAGACCTATGTAGACGTCCCATGCCCTCACCTCCTTATCCAGCATCTTCATCTCCTTATATATACAGAAATAGTCAATACGTGTGAGAGTGACATACTATTTTGCTTTACTGGGTAAACAATTTTTGGCCATGAAAGCATGTTATACTTTGGCAAATCGCCTGAGCTCCATGTCCATCTGCTCGACGTTGATCTCCTTCCATGGAGTCTTGGTCCAATCTTCTATACTGGTCTGGCACAGAGAGGAGAATGGAAATATTTGATCTGAAAAAATACATTTCGCCAGACACCCCTACAGACTTAAAGGTCAGCGATAGATAAGGAATACTCAGCAGGTGGGTAAGTGCAGTGAAAGGCTGAGCCTCACAGGCTTTTCCGTCTCGTGAAAATACCAACATACGGTATTTGTTTTGAGCTTATAAACATTTACCTTCACAAAGATGACCATGTCCCAAACTGCTTTGACCAGTATGATGTCAGAGCGACACTGGCACAGTTGCTTGTAGTCTGGGAAGCTGACCTCAAACAGATCAGCTGTGTCCTGCAGCTTCTTCATTTCTGCCTCCATCACTGCTACTCCTCGATTAGACTGGAGACAGAGGTGTTTTGTGGCTTGAAATGGTATTGTTTGATAGATTTGATTTAATTATACACTCAAAGGCACTACTAAGGGCTCACCTTATCAATTAGTTTATATTGCTCCTCCACATCGATCCTAAAGATGGACTCGGTACGAAACTGTTCTCTGAAATCATGCTGCTTCACCTGAATAAAAATAAAAAGCCTGTCCATTAAGGATTCATTGCATATCTGTCTCCATCTCACCATCTACAAAGGTGCAAACTGGGGGGTGGGGTGGAGTCAGTCATATATAATGCAGGAAAGAAAGGTTTATATGTCAGATATTGAGCTCTGTGTAGGGGGCATACAACACTGACATCCTATCCTACCCCCCCACACACGCACACGCACACGCACGCACGCGCACGCACGCACGCACACACACACACACACACACACACACACACACACACACACACACACACACACACACACACACACACACACACACACACGCACACACACACACACACACACACACACACACACACACACACACACACACACACACACACACACACACACACACACACACACACACACACACACAGCCTCACCTCAAACCGGACACACTTCCTGCGAATAACTGAAACTTCATTGGATTGTAGTGGCGCCACTTCATGTTTAACCGTGAATGCAATTTTCTTCAGACTATTCCACTTCTCGGGCAGCTCCTGTGTTTTACGGTAATAAAAGGAAGAATGTAATGTAATGATATACTGTATGTAACATATCTGCCAGCACTCATGGAAAAGTGTGTATTTTGTGCATAGGTACACACTTCTAGCTGCGTGTAGACGCTCTCTGGCAGCTGCTGTCCGTAGGTCTTGAGGAGCTCCGCAGTGGATTTCAGAGGTTTGAAGTGCTGATCGTTGCTGATCTGCCTGTCTCGGATGGCCATGAGGTGTCCCATGATGTCCACCAGGCCTGCATAGTCGCCATCTGACACCTTTTCAGAAAGACCACTGGCCGTGTCCTGGACAAAGGAGGATAATTCTCTCACGCTGTGGGAAAGAGAGAAATGAGGATAATGTTAGGGTACATATCCTTAGTTTAAGAGTTAAAACAGATTGCTTTTAGTAAGGGTTTTGATATTGTGGGCCTATAACCACAACCAGACAGTGTACATTTGCATATTAGGGCCATTGTAGGTAACAAACAATTCAACTACAGGGCCAGGGAAGGTTATATTCAGATTTTCGGAAATGTATAACAAAACCTACAATTGTTTACCTCAAATATGGTGTTGCACATTTACAATTTCTTTAAAAACTCATTATCTCTTTTCTACATTTTGTAGCAGTTCTTATCTCTTTGTGTATTTTTTGTCTATTTAGAATACATACAGTATGTGTGTGTGCTTGTGCATGCTAACCTCTGGTTCACGTGGTTCAGCAGGTGCTCCTTGAACATCCAGCTCCATCTCTTGATGACATTCATCAGTGTGTGCTTGAAGGGTCTGGTATCTAGCTGCAGCCAGCCACAAAACACCCTCCTGTCCTCCATCTTGCTCACTCGTACATACAGAGACTCAAACAGGTTGATCTGCAATGAAGAATGATGCGGCGACTCAGACACATTGATCAAAGAAAAAAAAGACTATAGTCAATTCTGAATAAAGGCTTTTAGAAGTGAAAAATATGAGGCACACCTGTTCTTTGAAGTTGTCGAGGGTGGGTGGATTCTTTTTCAGCTCGTAGTCAGCATACAGCTCCGCTTCCTCTGTACTTAACACATGGCCATAAAGTAGGAACTGCCTCATGAATTCAGACCTGTGATAAAGGCAAAGAAAGGATTCCTTTAGAATATGTTTTAGTCATACCAACCTGATATATCAGATAAAGAAATGTGATAAAGATTAAAAAACATCTGACCTGTCATCTGTCCAGAGGTAGCGGTAGCTGGCAAAGGATCCCTGATATTCTCTGACCTGAAAGGCAACACAATCTTTAAAACTGTGAGCCTGAAAGCATCATATATGTCTCCATATGTTGACAGGTAATCGTACCTTAGCAATAGCTACGCGTGCCCGTGAGCGGATAACATGGCACATCTCTGACAAATCCTCCATTTCATTTATATCGCACTACAAGATGAGGAAGCAGTTTAGGATAGTACAGGGTGTGTGGATATATGATATCTTCCCTATAAACCTATAATCCAATCTGTACAGCACCTGATAGTTATCCAGCTGTTTATGCTTGGCCACTCTGGGAATGAAGGACGCCATGTTGGTGATGTTGGCCACCATCTTATCCATAATATCATAGAAGTTACCGCTTTGGCTGGAGTCCAGCGAGGGGTCGAAGGTCATCTCGTTGCTGTTGAGTACCAGCTGGACCTCGAACAGCGGTGTGATACGCTGGGATGCGTCTGTGTTGTCCATGAGGTACTGCAGGGAGCAGCACACGGCACTGGAGAAGCCTGTCAGGATCATCCGGTCCACATAGTCTGTGTAGCCCTGCCACTCACTGCTGCTCAGGTCTGCCACACCCAGCAGCGACTCGCTCTCCTGGAGGGGAGGGGAAAAGTGGGGTTCAAATAATAATTTACCCTCAAAATGATCTTTTGTTATTACATTCCTCATCCTGTCTTACATTACATTTGTGATAGAAATGTTTCTTGCATGTTCCATGTTGAACAAAGAATACAAAAATAAGAAGAGTCTTAAAGGGCCCCTATTATACTCTTTTTCATCACTATATTATAGTTCTCAGTTATATACAAAACATGTCTCTGAAGTCCCCACCCCTCTGAGGGATATTATGTTAAAAAGAACACAATGGTGCTCGAGGAGGATCTTCAGGTGATAGTGGGGGGTTTACCTTGGTTGGTTATTGGCTAATGGTTACACAAGCCAAAACATCGTTATGACATCATAAAGTGGCCAAAATCTGATCAGCTCACTTTCAGACAGGTTTTTATATAAATGCACCAGGACAAAAAGAGAGCGATATTCAAGTACAAATTTGTTTCAAATGTTACTTGAATATTGCTCTTGTGAAATTAGTCGCATTTACTTTCTCCATTTTGGATCTGTGGAGGCATGCCAGAAACCTTTTCTTATATTTCTTGTATTCCTTTGAGAAGGAAACAAAGGTGATCTGATAATGTACAGTAAGAATATGAGGGAGATATATAAAGTAAAAGCCTTTCTCTAAAGCATCACAGTAAGGTGAGAGAATATACCTGCAGCAGAGTGTGTATTTCCTCCCCTGTACTGGTGATGAGAGCGTGCTGTTTGGAAACACTCTCTTCAATGTCAGAGAAGAGGAGGAGAGTGGATCCAAGGCTCTTTCTGGTGATGAAGGCACGGTGGCTGAATTTCCCCATGAGGGCCTGGATGGCCTCCACATTAGCTTTACTCGTCTGGACACGACTAGAAATGCTCTGGCGACAGCAAATAGAGAAACTATTACAACCGGTAATTAAATTCCCTTTGGATGACAGATGCATGTTGCTTTTCTCTTTTAGGAGTGTTCGCCATAAAGAGGAAAGCTGGCTTGAATGCCGTGATTCATGCTACGTTGGCAGGCAACATTTAAACAGCAGCTTTTCATATTTTTATTGAAAAACACGATCTAAATTAAACCACTGCTTTATGCATGTCAGCAGAATCATGTGGAGAAGATGCTTCGAAAAATGTCCACATAAGTATTGAAAAATAACTCAACACGCATTATGTATATGTATATATGTGTGTGTTTAAGTAGATACATGTGTGCATGTGTAGATATTTGTCATTTCAAACAACCCCTATGTACTACAAATGTTGTTCTGTATTTAATTTGCCATTTTCGGGTCACTAAAGAGATATGATTTGCAAAACTGTACTTTTAATATAATGTGACCCCAAATAAAGAGTAAAAAAACTCACCAGTGTTATGCGCTTTGTTTTTTTTTTGTCTGTTTGTTTGTCTGTTTGACTACAGATACAAATACTGGGCCAGGGAAGAACCCATTTAATTGTATTCCAAATGTGAGATGTACCAACGCATTATTTTTCATTGATGTAAACAACATTTGAAAGAGATATAAAAAGGGCCCTTCTAGTTAACATAGTCAAAATACTTCCCAACCATACAAAATAAATGTTCAGTACCTTGACCAGGTCTCGTGTGATCTGGATGTAGTCCCACAGGTCGTCTCGAGCCCAGCTCAGCTCCTGGAGGGCCGGCTCCAGCTGACGTCTTGTCCCATCCATCTCATCTTTCACTAACCCCAGCTCCACCGCCAGGATGGTGCTGTGCAGCTTGTTGTACCACTGGGTCACCAAAGTCAGTGTCTGTGTGTACTACAGGATACAATGCGGCGTTAAGCCTTAAACTTATTTACACCCTGTTTCACCGGCCACATAGCTGACAAATATAGCTGTTTGATACTTATACAATGCGACACTAAACACATATTCTCACCATGTAGAGTCTCTCCCGTTTGGAGTAGAGATGGAGAGCTGCTTTGGGAATGTTTTCGTTCTTCAGCATACCCAGATACTTCACCTCCCTCAACACTGATGTCAACTGGGGACAGGCGCAGAGAGAGGGTGAGAAATATAATAATCAAATTTATTAATCCATGTAGCAATTAATTGTTTTGTTACTTTAACTGTGAAAGCAAAACAATCGAAACAAATTGGATAAACATCTCATAGTGGAAATCTCATTAACATTGGTACAAAGCGCACAAATGTTTTAAATTAGATAAATGCTCACAGTACATCTGATTCGTTGTTTATCCCTGAATTAAAGTGCCTACTTCTGACAAGGCTGGTAAAATAAATGATTGCTGCTGCTCTTTCTGCTTTGCCTTGTTTCATTATTTGATGTAGAGTGGGTTTGGGATTTTTTTTTATCTGATCAGGTGCTCTGGAAATTTCTGCTTTTTTTGTAGACAAAAACAGACACACCAGGTATTTAATGCTGAGAAAGGAAATTGTGGCAAATATAGTATTTTAGTATAAAGTATTTTATAATTTGAGGACAGGCTAAATCAATATCATATTGCAGAAATCAGTGACATGTTGAAGCAGAAAATAGTATAAACTGTATATCTAAAATAATCAAACCTCTTATTTGTGGCTTAACTTAACATGTTAATCATGGAATGACTTGCATAGTCTAATGATTAATATGCATTTCCCATTATACATTCCTGTATGTAACATCCATACTAGGAGTTAGCAGGGACGACTTGAGGCACACTGCTGCACCAATTCCACTCAGAGCAAATCCCTTTATACTTAGTTATACAATTAAATTGTATTCATATTTGGTGATTGCCACTTCTAAATCGTTGTGCTTACTGCAGTACTGAAGTTGACCTGAAACAGGCCTGTGTCAGCGTCCAGTGTGAGCAGGGGGTCCTTCAGGTGGGTTTCACAGATTTCCTGGAGGCCCTCAGTCCACTCTGAGAACAGCTCCTCATCATGCTGGTCCAAAACCTCCAGAACATGCTGACACTTTTGGAGGACGTCGTCTGCTTCAGCTGACCCCAGAGGCCTGGAAGATATACAGTATGTAGTAAACTCAACAACAGATCTGCTGTGAACGTAGTAACATGATAGAATGGTGTCTATCCGTACATATTGGCCAGCTCGCTGAGGTTGCTCCTGTTGGTGAGGATGCGAATCCGAAGCTCCTGGGACCATTTGAGGTTCCCGGCCACATACGGCATATTCTTCCCCAAGACAATACAGCCTGACCGCAGCTGAAAAAACAAAGGCTGAATTAACTTGGCTGATAATGGAGTCATTCATTACTTTAAATAAAAAAAAATTCAAATTAGTTTGTGGCACACATTTCAATTCTGAATTACAATACAATAGGTTTCTTACCAAATTGAGGCATCTACGATTGAGACAGACTATTACGGCATAGTTTAGTGATGCTGTAATCAGATCCCATGGCTGTACTTTTGTATATTCAAAAGTAGGTGTGTCATTCTTTGAATTTCTAAATCTTTGAGAATATTTATTTCCTTTTAATCTCTCTTACCCCATCTCTGTGTTTATCCAGTATACACTGGCAGTAGTCTACTTCCTGGTGAAACATATCCAACAACACATTGTAGTTGGGAGAGAACAGCTGGTGGATCATGGGCCTCTCAAGCAGGGTGCTGAAAATCTTCAACAACTAGATTCGACACAACAAAAACAACAAGACATTTTTAGAAAACTTTAGGTAGAATGACCATTGGACCATTCCTGGCTGTTAATCTAAGCCACAATCAAGTTTAAATTCCAATTTATAAATATACGCTTCTCAGCTGATTAAAAGGATAACAGTTTTCTAACATCTAACAACAAAGATGCTAAAAAGATGCAACGTATCAACACCTTTTCGACAAATGACTTAGATATATATAAATACAGTAATGGGCTTTTTTGATGAGAGAGATTTCAGAGACACATTACCTTAAAGGTTGACGTCAGGTTTTTGGAGTGCTGGAAGGCCAGTTTAAGGACAGTTCCAAGCCTCTGGTCAAAGTCCCTGTTCTGCTCCATGAAGCGTCTGTAGTGATGCACAAAGTCCTGGACACAAGATGGCATTAGACAGGAAACACTGGATATGTTCAAACCTATTCCTCCTTTAACAGCTTTGAGTCCACCTATTGAACTTTATCCCATCTTCAGTGCATTAAAACATATTTCAGAACAGAGATCAATTTCTGATTCAGTTCCACATTTAATTGGCTCAGTTATATTGGAAGCTTGTATAAAATAGCTGTCAAATATCCAGTAGATTAAATAAAATAATTCACTGACTATTAATGACGGCTGTCACAGATTTTCGGCGTGTTGCTTGGCAACCACTTAGCTTTGTTATTTTTCAATTAGTGTACTGCTGGGCTGAAAAATAACATCTAATTTTAATTTTTCATTATTCGGCTGTGTCTGTCAGTGCCACTTATAAATTGCTGTGATTCACAGGCCTTTGGGGCTTATTGATTTACATAGCAGTGTGATATCAAAGACAAGTCTAACAAACAATTTCACTGAGCCTCACATCATTACTATAGTCCAGGGGGTCGTATTTGCTCTCTCTGAGGGCCCTCCAGCGGTCATGAAACTCCTCGCTCATGCTGAAGACCATCTCGCTCAGGACTTTCCCTCTGGATCCACCCAGTTCAACCTTCTCCAGTTTCAGAAAGTCCAGCGCTGTTGCAAAAAGTTCCTACAAAGAAAATATATATCATTATTAGAAAAAAAAACGCTCTGTAGGGTACACAAATACATCGAAAAAGTATCTATAGCAGTTAAGCAGAGTGGTGTCTTCTAGAGCAGGGGTTCCCAACCTTTTTTCCCCAAGAGCCCACCCATGGGGGGGTAATTAAAGTTTCAAAGTCTCAAAATGCTACAACTACTGTCACAAACTGGATGAATGTGAAGTATTTAGTTAAAGGAGGATGAAAGCGTAATTAAGGAGCACTATTGGAGTGACTTTGATGGTTATTGGACTCAGGATTCATTCATTTGGATTCCCGCTGTATGAAGAAATTAAAGGACGGCGGAAGTGGAAAGAATTCACAAAGGGATTAAACTGTTTAAAACATGCTCAAAGTAAGCCGGATTTTGCCGATGTGTTTATGTGGATTCAAAAATCGTAAATAATCTACAAAATGGAGGAGACCGATCTGATCGGAGCAACTGTGACAAATAATCCAACTGAAACCGGCATGGACAATGACTATGTTTTAAAAATGCGCTTATCCAGACAAGCCCGGTTTGGACACTTTACGGGCAGAAGAAACATTTCTATTAAAGAAAAAATTATACATTTCTGTCTTTTTATGCCTTTAATAGGTACTAACTTGAATTGTTATTCAAATTAAATAATCAATTATTTTATTGTAATGTAGGGACAAGGCTTTTAGCGACAATCATGTATTGCATTAGAATTATATGTAAACAATTTTATTTTTTTTAATAAAAAAAGTCTAAATATGATATTTGGCCTCAAATCATATGAGGCCTGGCGCACCCCCTGTGATCTTTGGCGTGCCTCCCAGGTTGGGAACCACTGTTCCAGACGTCATGTTCATATTTTTTGAAATAATAGCCTGATGTGCACATGTTTAACTGTTCCAATGAAACCAACACAAACTAAGACGTGCACCTCGATCATAAGCAGCCTCTCCATGATGCGGTCCGACCGCTGAAACACAAGCGCAGCCGGGAAGACCCACAGCTTGACGAACTGGCTGTGTCTGTAGTACTGGGGGATGCGCTGGCGGTGAGTGTGAAACAACTTCTTGAAGGTGCGCAGAACTAAGATGGTTATCTGGACTCTCTCCACCCCTTCCTCCAACTCCATCTTAAACAGCTCTTCAGGGATAAGGTAGGCAATGGCCTGGATTCAGACACACAGCCATATTAAAAATCTCATTGATATATATCATGTCCCCCTCTCTCCCACACATACACATAGAGACGCATCATTGTACCTTTTCGATGACCAGGTTGCAGAACTCCTGCAGGAGGACCACCATTCGTTGTGGAGTGCAGTAGTATTGAGAATGGCTCCAGATGAGACAGAGTATGTGGAAAAGAGGAGGCAGTAGAGCGTCTACCTGTGGGATACTCCTCTCCTCCAAGCTGCCGATCATTCTCCTCAGAGGACGCAGATACAGATCTATGTCCTCTGCCTCCAGCACCGCTAGGAAAATCACACACAGAAATAGTGATTGATAACTTCAACTTAGAAGAAGGCAAGTTAAAAATATTGCTTCTTATTGGTTTCTTACATAAAAACGTAAGGAGAGATTGGGATGTGAGTAAATTATTTAGCACTGATAAAGGATGAGTATTGCTGATTTACCCTCATCGACTTTAATGCAGATCTCGTTGAAGGAGGAGTAGTAACTGCTATTGACTCTTCTAAGGATCTCCATGATGTGCTCCGTTTTAGGACTCTGGATCTGAAAATGGGGAAATGGTAGCAGGGTGTTCACTCAGTGGCAACTTTATTTGATACACCTGTACAATGTATTTCATTTCAATACAACACCTCTTCCATAAATGCTACTTCTATAGAGTTCAAAATGTTACTTTTTTGGTGACATATTGGGACTTTGTAAATACTGTATGAATTTGTAACTGGAATCATTAGTGGAGTTATTGCTATGTCATGCAAATCAATTCAACCCTGCTGACATTTAATAGATCTGGCATTTCAAACTGTGGAAAATCTGGTATTTAGGAATCTAATGTCTCAGTCTATGAATTAAACACAAATCTACTGGTGCCCTAAGGACCGTAGCTACAGATGACAAGTTGAACTGACTGCCCCCCACCCACTTCCAGAGAAACAGTGTCATACTTGTGACTGGATGCCCAGCAGGTTTTCCCTTTGAGTGGTCCAAAACTGGAGCTCCACGTTGGGGCCTGGGTGGTCTCCTCGGAGCAGCAGCATACCAGAGTCTTTCTTCAGGACGGTCCATATCTGTCCAGACCACTGAACTATCAGAGTTTCTATAGAGTATAGCAAGCCACGGTCCAATGGCCAACCAGTGGGGCTGAGGGAGACAGAGAGGGGTGTGGGTAAATATGGCAATATGGGCTCCAGATGAGAAAAAGTAAAGAAAGTAACTACAAATGGGACTAAAATATAGTTCCAGTAACATGTAAATGGCATTATAGTCTTTTTAGGCTAAGGTGTTTTTTTGTAAGTTTGACACAAACAGGGTTTATTGGAACTACTTGTTTGTGAATCAGCAACTTACTCATGTATGACCTACAAATAGTAGCCGTACACAAAACTCACAGAAGGTCGCAAATCCAGTTGAAAGAGTGCTAATTCAGCACCACGGACAGCGCCATGGATTTATCAATTTGCAGGGCTCTCGATTCGAATTTGCACAAATCTCAGTCAGATAAAGCATCAATGATTTATACAGACCAAACATATTCAGCCAAACAACCCCTTTGCCACTCTCTCTGCATTCTCTCTCTGCATGTAATGAGGGGATTGAGGGGGTTTATGTAATGCAAAAACCAGTAGAAATAGCCTAATGAGTGCCTCTTCACAAGTTTACATGTTACTTCCAAAAAAGCTACATGAGAATTTTAAAATTGTTCTCACCCTGATGACATTATGCGAGCTAATGCTAGCATACAAATGCTTTATTCAACCAGATGATAGTCTCATTGTTGTATGATGATTACAAGAATAAACAGAAACCATACAGGCAGAGAAGGACAACTGCCACACACTAGTACAAATTAATGAGTACAATAGCCAGTTTATATGCAATACAAAAACAGTTATAAAGGACAAAACAAACCGATTTAAAACAAAAAACTATTTCAGTTCAACAATTGAAATCTATCATATTAATGCTCTCACATATTGACTCTTATCATGCAACACCATTTTGACATTACTAATTTACCCTCCTATCTCGTAGTTTGCCTAATTCTGCTCTCATCTTTGACATCACCGTCTGTGTAGAGTAGTTTCAGTTTTCAAACCAGGTCCACAATCCAACACTTACAGTGTTTTGAAGATAATCCTTATTCAATTACATCTCTCTGTTCCATTTGATAGTACTCCCAATGGACTCCATACGTGTATATTGGTAACTATCAAAAGCAAACAAAGATGGCACCTGGAAATTACAGATTTTTTAGTACAACCGGAAAAAGGCAGAGGGGAGAGAGAGGTGGACACCCAGTAAATTAGTTAACTGGGAACCCACCTGGAAACAGTTCTCAGTTTTCTTTTTGCTTATCATGACCGTTTTTCTTGTTGTGAAAATGTATTGAAACTTTAAAAATATAAAAAAACAATGTACGTTTTTTTTTGTTTATTATATTTATTTGATTGTGTTACTGGAATGCAAGACAAGCAGGAAGTGTGTCACATCCGGGTGCTTGTTGAACAGAGTTGAAAGCATGGATGTGGTTGAGATGCAAAAAGAGCATTTAACGAATCTTGGAAACGCGGTGAGTGTTGTCAAATGGCCTGTGTTACGCAAAACAATTTAACTTAATTTACATAATACACTCTCATTGACAAAACGAAACAGCGTCATATATTATGCAGTAACATATACACACTTAGCTAATCTATTAGCCTGGCCCGCACACACCGACCTGAGCTCCATGTCCTCGTGCCGGGCCCTCTCCACGCTCAGCGGCAGGGGCAGCAGGGTCCGCCCCTCCGCGCGCCCTCTCAGCGTCACCACCCTGTTCCTCAGCTTCTCCAGGTGCCTGTGGATGTCATCGGACACCACCCGCGGCCAGTCCTCATGGTTCAGACCGCTGGACAGCACACACACCAGCACCTATTCAGTACACACAAGCAGAGGTGGAAGACTCAGATCTTGTACCTATAGAAGCACCAGAGTGTAGGGATACTCTGTTACAAGTAAAAGTCCTTCATTCAAATGTTACTCAAGTACAAGTACAAAAGTATTAGCATCCAAATATACCTAAAGTACCAAAAATGTAATAAATCTTTATTGCATATTGGTCCATTTCAGAATATTTATATGATTTGTTTTGATTTGGTTGGGAATGGTTGATGTATTTGTTATTAAAGCTGTTAAAGGTGCAGCTCTTTTTAATTACATTGTTATGTAATTGCTGCAGGTTAGCTAGTGAATATGACTCGAGGTGTAATTAAAAGTTTTATTCAAGCATTGATTATATTTCACATCATTAGTCAACATCTGTAAAGTAAGTAAAGCTATTAAATATGCGTAGTACAGTAAAAGTACATGATTTACCTCTGAATTGTAGTGGAGTAGAAGTACAAAGTAGCAATGAATTGAAATATTCAACTAAAGACTTTTTTTTCTACAAGTCTCTCAAAATTGTACTTAAGTACAGTACTTGAGTAAATATACTTAGTGACACTACTGCACACAAGCTTTTTAAAGAGGACACATACTGTTTACAGCTTTGCAAACCAACCAAGCATTCGTCCTATTCCTCAAGTACTCTTAGTATCTTTGCTCCCACCAACCTGAATTAGTGTATGACTTTGACACTCACAGACACACACTAGCCCACCTCAGAGATGACAACAGGAAGGTGCTCCATGGGGTATCCAGCCACTTCCCCCAGCCGGAGTTCATGTCTGAATCGCTGGCGTGAGATTCTCTTCACACCTTTCTTCAGCACACACAGTAGCTTGGTCTTCCATGGTGGAGATGTCTTCACAGATTCAAAAACAGTAGGAATGCTTTCAACAGCATTGAAAGCACTAGAAATAAGTAGTGACTTATTTCAGAAAATTTGAATTTTAGATGGAGGTTAAATCAAAAACCCAACACATTACTGTATATCACTGCATGACTGCTCATTGTTTTGTCAAAGTTGTACAAAGTTGTGTAACTGTGTTTATATGAACATTCTCAGGGTATTAGGAATTGTAGGTTTCATCTCATTTTACTGAATTGTCTTCCTGCCATGCAAGAAAACAGATAAAAGTGAAATGTGCCATCATCAGCCACCCTGTATGTACAGTATGGACGCACAGTACCTTTACCTCAGGGATATTAGTATACAGAATGTCTAACATACCCCTACAGTGCATCAGAAAACAATATATGAACTAAACCAATAAGTATTTACTCAAGGTGCAAAATTAACTTTCTGAATAGGGAACTGAATAAAGGTGCCTGATCTTCTTATAAGCTGATTTTATGCATATGTGTGTTTTCTTACCTGTGCGTCCCCTGCATGCAATGTCCCTCCAGGTCCGGTGTACAGCAGCAGTCTGTTGGTCCAGATGTGGTCCAGGTAATCCAGTATCACCTTCTGGTTTTCCTCTGCTCCGATGAATCGGTTCCACTTGTCGGTCTTCACTCGCAGCACACAGAAGGCCTGCTCCCGTATAAAGTCCACCCTCTCGTCTGATAACACCACCCCAGCTTTGAGAGAGGGATCCTGGGGGACACGTACTCCTCCAGTCCCTCCACTGCCCACACCTCTACTGCTACTTCTGGGGCCTGCTGCCTCCGCCATGAAGACTCACCTGGTCGGAATTAGAAATACAGTAAGTCCAAGGATACTACTACTTGATTTGGAGTGTAGAGGGCTGACACTGCACTTGTAAGAATCATATAGTGGATGAAAGGTGCTAACTCACCTCAATTCTTGTTAAGATCAGACGCTATAAATGGATGTTTCTCCAGTCATAACAATGATGCACCCTTCTCTTCTGCTGTCCCAACTATATGCTTCTTGTCTCTTCTCCAGAGCAGCTGGAAAATGGATACACACCTTGATGGATAGGTTCACTGGTCACTGTGACAACGCAGTAGGGGCTGGCTTCATTATCCTGCATGGTGGAGGCTGTTTGTGAAGCCTGTAAGGCCTGCAACCCTATCCTGTAACCTGAGCCTTCAGAGGAGACCTTACTACAGGGACACCTCCAGGACAGGTAAGGACATTACATCTATGATACACTTATAAGTCATAGTATATATCTTTAGCAGCATTCATATGGTCTGTCAGTCCAGTAAAATTCCAACACACTTTGGCAGCCATATTTTGCATAAAGGTCAAGTGTTTATGAAAAGGTGTGTTTAACAGTTTGATTCATATTTTTTACATTGTAGGAGTTTTCTTATTTGGATTTCTGGTTACTGGTCCTGAAAATTGAAAATATGTTATTTGATCCAACTACAGTAGAGGAGGTATTTAGTGAGCAGTGAACTCCATCCTTCTTGCATATGCAATGTGTATCATCACCACATGGGGGCAGTGTGGTTCAATGTTTCTTATGGCATCTTTATACTATAATCCAAAGTGACCCTAGCCATGACATCCTATTACACATGTTATGCCATTTATATAAAACATGGAAAAATGGGACATTTCTCTAACTGTGTTATTTAAAATACCACAGCAATGATTACCCTTTCAAGGATCCTTCACTTTTTGAATTTAACCTTAATACATGAATGCAATCAAATCCGAATTTGAAATGAGCCAACTGCAGAAGACATGTCTGACATTTCATTTTATTACTAACCTTATGGTAATATATTTTATTATTACATGGGATTAAGCAACGCATAGGGATTATATAAGCATCCCCTCAATAAAAGGCTTTGTAAATGTAATGATTGAACAGCTGTCAATTGCCCTCCTCTATACCATTTCTACAGTTTCTAATTGAAGTTTAACCATTTTCCCATTTGATAATATTTCATTTCCTTGTTCATACATTCACCTCATTTCCTGTAATCACTCCCTTTTAGCTTAATATCTGCTTTAAACATTAAATACAAATCATGGAAAGATTTTTCACTTCATACAGTATGACGAATGCTTAATCGATATACATGACCTTTGGAGGTTTAGGTCTTTATTTTCAACACAAGTGTTCAGCATTCATCAGCAGTGAGTAATTCCATTGTTCACAACACTGGCTGTATACTAGCCAATAATCCATGGCAGTCCTCCAAGGGAATTTGTCCTTTCTGAAATCTGTAATTCCATGCCTCATTCTGTTTGTATAAGTGAACACATGTGTGTGTGTATGCTCCTAACACACATCATTGTGTTTGTGTGTCCTGCAGCTTGAGTTAATGTCCTCTATATGGTATGTAAGGCTGTAGTGTTTGTATAGCAGAATGTATGCACGTGTGTTTCTGCGTATAGTATGCCCACAAAAGTTTGTGTTTGAACGTGTGGGGCTTGTGTGTGTGTGTGTGTGTGTGTGTGTGTGTGTGTGTGTGTGTGTGTGTGTGTGTGTGTGTGTGTGTGTGTGCGCGCGCGTGAGCGAGCTGTAGGCTGTGTTTGTCTGATAAATTAGTAGGACTGTTGTCCCATCCCAGGGGAAATGCATTGGTACTCAAGATTATAGGGGCTATATAAACCCTTAAAAAACGTTGCTAACTCATATTGTAAAGTGACATACATTTATAACTTTCACAACAAATATATAACTTTTATTAAAAGTCAGTTTCGATTCCACACATACAGAGAAATACCTACAGTAAGCAGATGCTAAATAAAGTGATCAGGCTGATATTCAATAGAAATTGGATTTACGGTAGATAACTACCTTACTTCTGTGTAAACTCCAAACATTAGAGGCAGGCTGTCAACAAATTATGAAAAGTGAAAGCTGCACTAATGTGTATTAGCTCTTCCTTCATAGTTAACTGACTTTCAGACATAGGAGCTTATGTTTATGAACGAATACTGGATATCAGCTGTCTTTTCCCATATGTACGCATGTTATTCACAACAACATTTAGCTGTGAGCTTGTCAAATGCAATATGATTTCCTTCTCACTCAATGATTTTATGATGCCTTTAATGCTATTTCATCCCAATTTTGATCTAAAATTCATCAGTTAACATTTCAACCACTCAAATGATTGTATCATCAAAACCGTGAGTATGTTGCAAGCAAAAGGGATTAAGATGATTCATAGCTTTAATTATAATCCATAACCAGCTTTCCTTTTATGCCAGGAAGTTTTTTTTAAGAGTCAATTCTCTGGTGGATATCTTATTTTGGAGAAAAAAACAACTCTTCAAACTCTTCCAAACCCCTCCGATGTGTGAGTGGTGAGGTGTGTGATGTCTTGCCGCCATGTGTGTAACTATGCGTCGTGTTTGACTGTGCTCCGCTCGCTGTAGGTTAAGCTAAGTGGCTGTCTGGCACCGGCATCTTTGATTATCTTTATTTATCCCTCTCGCCCAGCGTTGCTCCGCTCGCACACGAACGCACACCCCTCCTGCTAAAAAGCTAATCTTTTTGTGCTAATGAAAGGTATTGGGTTTCCTAACAGGCTTTTAACGGAAGGTGATGGATTGAGGGATAGATGGATGTTAGGAGGGGAGAAGGGACATGGTGAGGGGAAGAAGTGAGAGGGAGGTGAGGTGTCAATAAGCACATCAACCTGATCCCTTTCAGACTGTGAGGCGTGCATATGCTGCTAATGTATTCATCACACACACACACACACACACACACACACACACACACACACACACACACACACACACACACACACACACACACACACACACACACACACACACACACACAAACACACAGACGTATATAGATACACAGACAGACAGCAGGGAACAAAATATGCCTCAGGTTAACGTTATTGGCATTATATCAATTTGTTGGAAAAGTGTCACTTACTAGCTGCTACTGATACTATCTAGAATAAGAATTATTACTGAGCATGACTTGCACACATTCACGCATATTCATCTGATTAATTTTGACTGTGCATGACTCAGTTTCATAAACAATTACTTGATTTAATCGAGTTGTATTAAAGGTTATCCATTCTGTCAACTGGAATTAGTGCATATGATATTCTGAGAGAAACAGGTTATACACCTGGATGAACTAAATAAAAGTCACAATCATTTTTTGACAAAGTAAATATTGAGTGGAATTTCTTGACTCTTTGTGGACATTACCGACGTAAACAAACTTTGTATAGCAACAGAAAAGCAAAACAACTCTTGACTTATTCACCATCTTGTGTTATTCTGTGCCTTTAAAGCCCTGCCAATTGATTTAAGTCAAGGCTAACAAATTAGATTTAATCCAATTCTTTGCATTGATTTACAGTAGCACATGTTTTAATTTCGCTAATATATTGAAAGTCACAAAGTGTAATGAATTGGAAAGGAGGTTAGATACACAGTCAGAATCCAGCAAACACTGAAAGATTCTACAGTTAACATTTGATTTCACTGTTTGTTCGTGCGACTCTGCGAGTGTATGCGGCGAGGCAGCTGCAGCATCTCGCCTCTGATTTTATGATTACCACATTTCATGTTTCCTGCCCGATAATTGTAGACTATGTCTTTGCATATCTATATTGGTCCGTGAGTGCGCTCAGCGTGGGTCCGCGCTCCAATCAGTCATTCATCAGCCATTTCACTGGAGACAGATCTCCGTCCCATGTAAGTGAAAAAGAGCCCTGATGAACGACAAATCTGCCTTATCCCAAGGAGGGGAGACATGGAGAGGGAGAGCCCCCACTGTGCTGAGATGGCACGGCCAGGTGGTGTGGGTGAGTGCAAAGTGAGATGAGTTGTGTGTGTGTGTGAGAGAGATTTGGGTGGGGTGGGGGTGGCATTCAGCAGGCACCTGGTGCTGACAGCCCCTCATTGAAACATTGTGATCCAATTCAGATTCAGTCCCCCCCCATGATGCTTTGAAGAGGCTTGTGACAGCTCCTTTCCCCGCCTCCTCTCCTCTCTCCACCTCTCCTATATACACCCTCTCCTCTTCTCCTCTTCTCTCAACCTCTCAAAACGTCTCCTCCTCCTGATCTCTCCACTTTACCTCTCTTCCTCTTTCTACCTCTCTTCCCTGCCTCTCATGCTCTCACAACTTCTCCTCTCTCCTTTCCTCTTCTTCCTTCTCTTTCCACTTCTCCTTTGCCTCTTCTGATTTACACCTCTCCTCCCTCCGTCCACTCTCTCCTCCTCTCCTATCTCCTTTCTTTCCACCTGGCAACTTCTCCTCTTCTATTCTCTACCCTCCTCTCTCCACCTGTCCACTCTCATACTCTTTTACTCCTCTCACAACATCTCCGGTCCTCCTCCTCCTCCTCCTCCTCCTCTCAACCTCTCTACACCCCTCCCATCTTTACCTGCTGATTACAGAGCTGTCATTCCTTGGATCTGACAAGCTTGCTGATTGGCATGAGTACTTTTGAGTGTGTGTGTGTGCTCACGTGTTCGCTCATGCCTGCTGTCTTGATGCATGTGTGTGTACCCATCTGCGCGGGCACCTGTGTGTGTGCAGCTATCCCTCGCCCTGATTATGATTGCAGTGTGAGCGAGTGCTGGCGCTCGGCTGGAGGATGAGCGAAGTGAGGCTTTTGTTTTTAGGAGAGCAGCCTTTGGGAATAGCAATGCGACTGAGTACTCGCACTTTGATGTCTAGTTTTTCTATTTATGCAAGTCTTTCACATCAGTATCACATCATGAATTATAGATGGACTGCTTTGCTGTTTAATTACTGT